AACACCCCCAGGCTCGGTGATTCCACCACCTCCCTGGGCAGTCCATTCCAGTGCCTGACCACCCTTTCTGAAAAGTAATACTTCCTCACGTCCAGCCTGAATCTCCCCTGCCGTAGCTTGAAACCATTCCCCCTGGTCCTATCACTAATGACACGAGAGAAGAGGCCAACCCCCAGCTCACTACAACCTCCCTTCAGGAAGTTATAGAGAGCAATAAGGTCTCCCCTGAGCCTCCTCTTCTCCAGGCTGAACATTCCCAGCTCCTTCAGCCTCTCCTCATATGGCCTGTGTTCCAGACCCCTCACCAGCTTTGTTGCCCTTCTTTGAACACGTTCCAGGGCCTCAATATCTTTCTTGCAGTGAGGGGCCCAAAACTGGACACAGTACTCCAGGTGCGGCCTCACCAGTGCTGAATATAGGGGAACAATCACCTCTCTGCTCCTGCTTGCAACACTGTTTCTGATGCAAGCCAGGATGCCATTGGCCTTCTTGGCCACCTGGGCACACTGTCGGCTCATGTTCAGCCGAGCATCAATCAATACCCCCAGGTCCATTTCCTCTACGCAGTCCTCCAGCCACACCGCCCCAAGCCTGTAGCGTCGCCTGGGGTTGTTGTGGCCGAAGTGCAGGACCCGGCATTTGGCCTTGTTGAAACTCATCCCATTGGCTCCAGCCCAGCTCTCCAGATCCCTCTGTAGGGCCTCACTACCCCCAGGCAGATCCACACTTCCAGCCAATTTGGTGTCATCTGCGAATTTACTGAGGGTGCACTCGATGCCCTCATCCAGGTCATCAATAAAGATATTGAAGAGGATTAATGTAACGAAAGATGGTTCCTCCAGAGCATGGCCATGAGTGAGCAGCTGTAATCACATTATGAGCTGTCTTACACTTTTGACCACTGTAATGTCATGCAGCATTGAGTCTGAAAATTAATTATATCCTATATGAAATGCACATCTTGCTTGTTATACTTTTTCAGCTTCACAAATGATTATTCTCTTAAATTTTTCAACCCATTTATAATTCTGACCTCTAGCACCTCTGCATTGCTGCATCTTCCCTAAACAGAAAAGCCCCCTACTCAGTTAATTTCAATGGTAGCCATTTCATGTCTGTTGTCTTTTTCTTTCCTTTTTCTATTCAAAGTTGCACTTAAATAGAAAGGGATACCTTTTTTTGTCACTTTCTACAATCAAAGGTCTTAAAGTGCACTCATGGGTTGTATTGAATTTACTAAAAACATAGCTTACATGCACAATATGTAATTGTACATGTAATGCAGAAAAGTAATTGCCCATTCAAGGAGGTTTTAAACAAGTCACATTTTCTATGCATCACAGTGGAATGAAGTGATGTATCTGACTGTTCAGGAAGTTCAAAAGTAAGAAACTTCCATGATTGAGATTCTTTCAAAGGAAAACTTGCAGATGAACTTCTTACATGCATAATGGATTTTTAAGGATTTTAATTGATATATCTGAACACAGCAAATGAAAAGCAAAGAATCCACATAATTCATGAAAGTTTAAATTCTAAGTGAGCAAGAAATTCTGAATTCCCAAGTATTTTAGAGACTGCATAAAAAAAAGTCTTATCTGAAAGATCATTCCTAAAAATGATACTTCAGATAACTGTATCTGTTCTTTCATGTAGATATATCTATTTTCAAAGATTTTTCCTTCTGCTCATTCTGTTACACTAAGGGAGACACAAAGGTGCTATGTTGAGTCCACCATAATTGCTGTGTGTACCAAGAGAAAAGCATTATGTTCTTATATAAGTACTTTTTTTTTTTTTTTAAATGGTGACTGAGCCAAAACAAACTCTTGCTGGTTTTCAGGTTTCTACACGAGCAGTGTAGAAACAGAGCAAGACCAGTAATTTAGAAAAGCATCTTTAAACACATTCACTGGGTAGACTTAAGAGAATACAACTGTGGGCACCATAATCTCATTCGTGCAAAGTACACGTTACAGCTTAATTTTAAACCTAGAGATTTATGGCAGGATTTTGAAAATTGCCAAAGCATTTTAGGAACAAAATTTCCAGTGACTTTCAATGAGTCTGTAATCCAAAATCACTCAGACACTTTTGAATAACTCACACGTAGGCCCTCAAACTTTGTATTGTAAAAACTTCAGGTCCCTTTCAGCCACAGGAAATTCTTCAACTGCTCTACTAAAAATAGCTTTGAATTTGTGCTGAAGGAGTTTTGCTACTATAGACCCCTCTAAAACACACTTAAACTTAGCATATATTCACAATAGAGAATCAAGAGAACAGCTATTAATGTGTTTCAGTAGTTACACATTAACTATTAATGAACGTTATACTAATTTCTCTCCTTGCATGAATATATTTCATATTCATATTTCATGAAATCTGCATTGCTTCCATCGTATCAACATATTCTTGGGATTTATTACCATTGGGAATATAAGCATAGCTCTAACATTGCACATCTGTCTCTGTAAAAAAACAACACAGGCAAAATGCCAAAGACTGCTTTTTGAGCAATTTTTCTCAGAATGTTTCTGGATATCGATTGTAACAATGAACCCCAAAAGCAATGAATTCCCTCAGAGCTCCACAGAGTGACACAACTGCTGACACACTTCAAACCCCTCATGCCCTACTGAGGACTAATTTGGGAATAAATGGTGACAATACAGAATTTGCCTTGGTGATTTTGTCTTCATAATTCTGAATGATTATAAAGAACACAAACATTGTCAACATTCTTGTACCAATTAAAACAAGAAATCCAATGACCTATGTAATTGAATTTAAAATATTAATGTGTGGAACTCATAGAGAAGACAAGGGTTTCCACAACATGTTGGATATCTTGTATGGGTCCTCAAGATAGAAGTCACATGAGAAAAATCATACTTGATGCTTTTAAACTGAACCAAGCTCAAGATGATGCAGAAAAGTCATATTGCTTACAACCTCTGGGCTTCAACAAGATGATGCCATTACACTGGTGCTATCCCTTGAAAGCATCCATACCCTGTTAGCAGTAATATCTGCTGCATGTTTCAGATCATTACATTTTAGGATCATGAATCTCTTAGTTGCAGACATCTGACAATCACCTCAAGGCAGCACTTCTATGATATACTGAAGTGATGATAAGTTGTCTCTTTTTTTTTTTTTTCTCTAATCTTTCAAATCATTCTTCCACAAACTATTGTGAGCAACTTCCTCTCCAATCATGCTTTCAGTACACCACTAGAATGGCATTTGTCCAACACCAATAAAATCATCAGAGAATCATAGAATTATCAGGGAGGTGACTTTAAGGATGAAGAAAATAGAGCAAAACGCAGTAACTAGACAAATACATATTGAGCAAGTATTTCTTACCCACAGAGTTTCCTAGCATGAAACAAAGACACTGATTTACCTCTTGCTACCTCCCTTTTGCAGGAAGATAGCTGAATGACATGAGACAGTGTCACAGCTGATGGAATTAACTGCTGAAAAGGTTGCTGGAAGTGGAATTAAAAGCACAGAAAATCAAATTGTTATTTGATATGAATTAAATGTGCTCTAGCCTCATTTGTTGATAGAAATGCAATGTAGAAGCTGCAAATGAAATCCATGTTTCAGATGGGATGTCCTAGAGTACTTTAAAACTAGAAATCTCTAGTCACTAAACTAGACAAAAAGTCCCTCAGACAGCAAGGTTGTGTAAAATAAGCAGTACATGAACTGATTCATATCAGTAAAGGGCAACTTCAACCTGTTTGTCACCAATCTACATCTCAAATATGTGATAGATAAATGGTTTTCCATGCATTCAAACGTATAGGGTGTTCTGCAAAGATATTAGATGCTAGAATAAGGATTCATTCTAGAAGCCTTATTTTCACTGGAGAGTCTGAACTAGCTCCAAGCTTTCCTGTGCATGGACATGACCCATGTACTTTTAGTACATACTTTCTATTTCAGGTTGCATGTCTGCAAGCTGCTTTAAACAAGTCTGCAATTCGAGCATGTCTGTGGTTCTGAGCAAGTCAATGGGCTACACGGTTACCCTGAATTAAAGGTACCTTGCTAATCAGGCTGCTGAGTGTAATGAAGACATGAATAATAATTCATTACAGAGGGATTTCAGCACAACAATCAGCTTGAGCGCCAGTCAGAGCCCCCAGCTCTACAGGAACATAAGCAGAAAGAGCTCTCAAGAAATGAGCCCCAGACATTTAGATCAGCAGTGAACTGTGATGTTTCAGTTGCTCTCGCAGGGACTTTTACCTTGATTATTACTTTCATTTATCTGTGATGTTAAAGCAGATTTATTTCACTAAACAAGTCAGGCACGTGATATTGCTGCCACTTGGCTCTTCCTAGCAGTACTAAACACTCTAACCATACAAATTTAGAGGATGGTTCCCTTCTCCGAACTTGCCAGTTCCTGGTAGTTTTACTAAACTAGGCTTTTGAGCAGAAGAGAGACTTTACTGATCCTACTTGCACAACACAGTGTTATCCTCAGCATTTGCTAGGCAGCAGCAAGTCTGCACAGGGTCTCAGCCTGGAGCATTAAACCTGCAGGAAATCAGGCTTCATCATTCCTGCCACTGACAGAGACATTTGCACTCCAGCTCTTTCATTCACACATTGCAATAAACAGTTTGCCATGACTCCATCTTTCACAAGACCTTGCTGAAACACACATGCACATACACAGTTTGTACGTGGAGTCCAGATCCCTTCCTCAATAAATCAATAGGTATATAGATGGACACATTTAAAAAATAAAAAAATAAAAAATAAATCAGTGATAGAGGACACAAGCTGAAGACCTGCATCTTGAGCCTGCATTGAAAAGTGACTTCTTGTGAGCTCTTCCCCACACAAAACGCTGAGGTTTTAAATCCCACTATCAGATACACCTTACTGTACCCATGTTTATTTGTGTAGTAGGAAGCGGTGTCAGCTTCACAGAATGCTTGGAGCTGTAGAACTCTTAAGAAACACATTCTTACCTGCACCTCTGCTCTACAGCCAGCATCCCTGGAGGCCTTTCTATTGTTGCAACGTTAGTGTCATCATTCCATTAAGAGCCTGGCTGGGGCTGTGTGACCAATTCAGAAGGCGCACCTGTATAAGCAAAAGAATGATAATTCCTGGCTGTGCTTTGGTGTGAAGTGCTTTTTTTTTTTTTTTTTTTGCAAAACAAAACAAACTATTCATGCCATGATGAAAAATAACTTCTGCCGTACCTGTCAAAGGATCAGCAAGTCTTTTCTAGTGAATGAATAAGCATTGGCAGCTCTTTTTTAAGCCACTGAAAAATGAAAACTGCTTGTGCAAGTAAATATATGTAATACGGGGCTACAGTTTGCTGTTCTCATGCCAGCTGAGCAGCATTTTATAGGAGGCATAAGCCATGGTGCTTCTATGGGATATTCACAGAGGATGTGCCAAGAACAGTGTGAAATCGTGTGTGGAGGACAGAGCAGGATTTTGTACCCTTTCCATCTCCATGGAGCTGAGTTCCCCACAGCTGCTCAGTGCCTGTAATTTTTGCACCAGCCCTTCAGTATCCAAAGCAACGTGGCTTAACTCACGCATAGATGACCTACTGCTGGTGTCCTTTGTCTTAGGAGAAAGAGCAGCCTGATTGTGACTGCCCCAGTTACTGCTTAGTCCCCTGGGTTTCCAGAGCTGGGGAACTGCATGGTCCCTTATTGTTGCTGAACAGGAACGTGATGCTGCAGGACTCAGCAGGATATGGTTATTAGCAGGGCTGATAACATTTCTATTCCCAGAGTTCAGCCAGAAGTACGAGGCCATTAAGGCTGCTTCCAGCTAGAAGAAGAAATGTTCTGAAGGTTCTGTATGCTCTGTGTATCTGTGCTGGAAGGATACAGTACCTTCCTTATGCTCCCTCTAGCTTTTCCTATAGATGCGCTTCTTACAGCTTCATTAAATAAAAAAAAAATAAGAAGCCCTTATATACATATAAGTTACATAAGCCTTTGTTCTGGGAAGTGGAGTGTTCTGAGTGGAGATGACCAGCTTAAAGGTGTATACAATCAATGAATATACAGGTATTATAATATAGTAGAGAGTTTAGCTACATAGTTACTACACCAAAGCAGAAAAGACAGGGATACTTACCCGCATCCTGGGCTCACGTAGGAAACTACAGTGGAGTGGATCTCCAGAACAGATCCTTCCCTACTGGTAGTCAGCTCTTAAATGGGTCTAGGAGAGGTGCAGCCAGGCTCCACCACTTCCGGCAGCACAGGTGAATTGCCTTCAGCTGTGCTCCCGTGGCTGACTCAGTGCTCGCCCCAGGTGATCAATCAGAGTTTCAGGCCCTGATTCAGCAGTTCCCATACAAAACGCTAGGAGTCACATTCATGAAAAAACATGCATCTCTTTAAAGCTCTTTTAGCTATATAGTTAACTAAATTTTCAAAGAGATTCTGTACACGGGACAACAAGCCTCGAGTTAACAATGAACTGACATGAAACTCTTGGTTTCCTTTTTGCAGCTTCTCCTTATTGGGATATCTAGATTTTGGTTTCCTTGTTGTGATATATTTCTTCTGAGCACAAGATATGGTAATCCTCTAGTCATTAGGATGGCTTGTCTGATGCTGCATTTTGGATGCAGAGCTGTACAGTCTGCCCATTTCCATACAGTAGGAAACCAAAATAAAATGTCAGAACTGTAACCTATGATTGAAGATCTTACAGCAGCTTCTCAAACTGGGCAAATATTTGCCTCGATTATTGTATTTACAATTCCAAAAATATTTCTTCTGTTGAAGCTCTGTGTACAAGACACTACTCCAAACCATTTTTAAGGGAGTTCTGACATAAATGAAACTTTATGCTGGCATGGCAAGTGAAGTACTTGATTAATAAAGAGTTTCACTGTTTTCAAACACATATTCCATGCAGGCTCATTTGAAGAAAACCGCAAGTGGAGAATGCTTTACTGCTTCCAGTCACAAGGGGGTTGTGTATTTCAATCCTGCTTACACAGTTAGCTTACTTTGGAGCTCTGGTAGGAAAGAAACATGACCAGGAGAAATAATGCTACATTCAGTGACCCTGCTTTTAGAATCAATTGGCCTGACGGGAGAACTTTTTTCTCTCTCCACTGCTACTGTTTTCTTATTTTTTAACCTTTTAATACGTAATATTTCTTGAAACACCATCTTTAGAGGGATGTCTACTGTCCAAAGGCATTACAATTTGACTGATATAGCCTTCAGACAGCACAGATGGGGAGCAAGAGATTTACACTGACAGATGACATAGAAAGTAGTATACTTGTTCATAGTCCTTCCTTAGACAAGTTTTGGACTGCATTCTTATTTTTTTATTTTAAAATTGGGTATTAAGTATATAGCTAAGCCTCTTTCATGTTAAAAAGGAGTTGAACTTCTACCAACCACAATGATAAGTGAAAGAAGGGGACAATTAAGTCTAATGAAGTCCACAGAGAATTCCAAAACAAAGTCTTGAATATCTAGAAGAAAAATTATAGCAAGTTCTAATAGGCTGTGGAATAGCTACCCGCTGGGCTTGGATTTTTAGTTGTAGCTCTATCTCATGAGAATTTTAAAATTGGATTGAACAAAGCACTAGAACACATTCTGTGGTTAGAATGAAATGCAAAGATCATTATTTATTTTCTCTATCCCATAAACCCTTATTGGCAGGCAGAGAAGGAATAAAAATGCTGCAGCCATGGATGCTGCTTGCTGCTCAGCTGGCATGTTGGTGAGATGGATTAGCCAGTGATGACTACTGATCATTTGTGAAGCTGCCACTACCTATATGGCACGTTTAAAACAACAGTTTGGGATGAGTGATTTAATAAACAGCTTCTAACTTTACACACACACAGTAGCACTCATTACCATTTGTCCAAACAGGGATATGAGCAGTTTGTTATGGCAAGGTGACCACTTAGCTGTCTGCCCAAGTTTCATGTACATGTACCAGTCTGCCCAAAGAAATGTTGGTTTTCTTTCAGCCTCCCAGCCACATGCTGACTGTCTGGGCACCTCTGTTCTTCTTTTTTGTGCATGTACCTGCTCATGCACAGATTTCATTCCATCTTTCTTTCAGCAAGAGCCAAAATTAAGTCAGAATTCAAAAGTTGCTCCTTTTAAAGTAAGCAATCCATAGATATGTCTAAATTACAGAACATACACTGATGCAAAATATTTACATGCAATGACTAAATTTCTCTTCCTATTACCACCTTCCTCAGTGTTCCTAAGTATCTATTGTGATAGATTGTTTCTTTAGAAATGAGTTATAATTCATTCTTTTCATACTCAGATACTGTTCCAAAAGACAGGAAAAAAAAAATCCCACAACTTTTAATGATGATTTTTGGCTCTGCATTTTCCCTCATTCTAGGGCTGTTACCTTCTAAAATGAAAATAGCTGACTGAGTAGGCAGGAATTTTGCTATATTTCTTTTAAGAGATTAACCTGCTGGAGTGTTAATTGAATTGCTGCTGCTATCAGCTACTGATGCCTAGCTAAGCTCTATGACTGTTGGGTTGACCTTGGCTGTTTGCCAGATGCACACTATGCCACTCACTCACTGTCTGTGCTCAACAGGACAGTGGGGGGAATAAAACTGCACCTCTGATGTGGTTCTCTATGGGTTGCAGAGTGGATATCAGCTCCATCATTGTCCTCCATGGGCTGCAGAAAAATAGCCTTTTTCACTATAGTCTTCTCCACTGGTTGCAGTAGAACCTATTCTAGTACCTGGAGCACCTCCTTCTTCACTTACCTTTGGGGTCTGAAGGTGTTTTCTTTCACATTTTCTCACTCCCGCAGCCCCCAGGCTACCAAAACCTTGTCATGTACACCCAATGCAGTGACAGTAACACAATTTTGTCTTGAAACATTCATTCTGTCCTAAGCAATGGAGCACACTGCCACATGAGTTAGTACAGTCCTCATCTTTGGAGTGTTCATCTGATACTGCCCTGAGCAGTTTGTTTGAGCATGAAGTGACCTGGCTTTGAACAGGAGGTTAGGCTAGAGATATTGTGAGTAAAGGCTTCGCACAATCGTTTCCCACCTGCATTATCCTTTGACTCTGTGACTCTGATTCAGCCCTGTCAATTTAACTCCCAGAGTTACCCGCCAAGTTAAACTGAGCATTTTAGATAGAGAAAGCATGAGAATACAATAAACACAGAACCACATAATGCTTTTTTTACTGACACATTTTTCAGACTACTGTCATTCTTGAAGTGTGGACTTTGGACAATTTGAAGAGTTCAATAACAATATGCATGAAGTCATATGTATTCTTATTTAAAGGACAGTTCCTTCTTGGAAGTTTTCCCATAAAAATAGTTTTTCATTCCAGCATTTTACATCATTGAAATTCCCAATTTCTAAGAAATAATATTCCTGAAAGAACAGGAAAATTCTTTTCTTTTGGGGGATTGGTTTTTTTTGTTTGTTTGTTTTGTTTTGTTTTAACAGAATTGAAATACTTCTCAACCACGCTACCCTCTGGACACTGGGAAAATTAGTCAAAGTAAATGTTCTCCAGAAGATTAGGACTCTTACGATCATTATCCATTTTTATGATTTTGCATGCTCTAAGATAGACTGTTATGTTCCCATTTTGGTTTGCATGAGCATATTAAAACCAGATGTGAGTTGCTGAGTCAGCTTTGATACAGTAGCAGAGTTTTGCTTTCCAGGAAACAAATGATCACAATCCATAATTATATTTTCTCAAACATAAGATAAGTAGTTGAAACCAGAAAATGAAAACTGTGGGCTTGAGTAGTTTCTGTCAGACATAGTGAGATCAGCCTCCTCCTGCTGCCTGGCAAATGAACAGAGCTCTCAGCTTAAAGAAGAACTGGCTCTTGTAAAAACTAAAATATCGGCAGAAGTTGTATAGCAGATACAAACTATACCATCCAGACCAGTCAGCCTAACCTCTGTCCCTGGCAAGGTGAAAGAACAACTTGTTCTGGATACCACCTCCAAGCAATTGGAAGAGAAGAAGATTATCAGGAGTAGTCAAAGTGGATTCTCCAATGGGAAATCATTCTAGACCAACCTGATAGACTTCTATGATGTCATCACTGGCTGGGTAAATGTGGGAGAGCAGTGGATGTTGACTTCAGCAAGGCATTTGACAACATCTCCCACAACATTCTTGTTATGAAACTTAGAAAATGTGGAGTAGATGAGTGGACAATAAGGCAGATTGAGAACTGGCTGACTGGAAGAGTTCAGTGGTGCAGAGGCTAGCTGGAGGCCTAGTGGTAACTAGTGGTATTCCCCCGGGGTCAATATTGGGTCCAGTGTTGTTCAACATCTTCATCAGTGACTTGAATGAAGAGATAAAGTCCATCCTCAGCAAGTTTGCTGGTGATACAAAGTTGGGAGAATTGGCTGACATGCCTGATGGCTGTGCCACCATTCAACAAGACCTGGACAGGCCAGAGAATTGGGCAGGGAAGAGTCTGATGAGATTTATCAAGAGCAGGTGTAAAGTCTTGCACCTGGGGTAGACAAATTGCATCAATCAGTGCAGGTTAGTAGATGATCTGCTAGAGAGGATTTGTGCAAAGAAGAATCTGAGAGTCCAAGCGGACAACAGGTTTGCCATGAGCCAGCAGTGTGCCCTTGTGGCCAAGAAAGCTAATGTATCCTGGGGTGCATTAAAAAGAGTGCAGCCAGCAGATTGAGAAAGGTGATCCTCCCTCCCTCTCTGCTCCACCTCTGTGAGGCCATGTTTAGGCAACTGTGTCCATTTCTGGGCTCCCCGGTTCAAAACAGACTGGGATTTCCTGGAAATAGTCCAGCAAAGTGCCACAAAGATGACTATGGGTCTGGAACATCTCCCATATGAGGAAAGGCTGCGCAACCTGGGTTTGTTCAGCCTGGGGAAAAGAAGACTGAGAGGGGATCTGATATATATTAAAAAAAAAAAAAAAAAAAAAAGGGAGGTGGAAGGCAAATGGATGAGAACAGGCTCTTGTCAATGGTGTGTAGTGATAGGACAAAGAGTAATGGTCTAAAACTTGAACATAGGAAGTTCTCTACTAACATGCAGAAGAACTTTACAGTAAGGGTGACAGAGACCTGGAGCTGGTTGCCCAGACAGTTGTAGCATCTCCTTCTAAGTAAATATTCAAGACCCA